CTAAAGCAGGGTGACGCAAACCGTTATAAAACTTAGGGAAGCTTTCAGGACAGTAAACCCAAAAGGGAAGATGAAATATCCAAACCCTTGAGTTTTGGCGTCGTGAAAGAAGCTAAAAGAGAGTACTAGAAGACGTATTAGGAGTTGGTACAGTCCATTTGTTCCTCACTGTTCAACATAAATCAAACGTTGTCACAATTACTAGACTACTATTGTTGATATGCTAACATAAATTTTTAAAATTAAGATGTCAGGGATTCGAGAAACTTGCACAATGCGTTCTTGTTGTCACGAGGACCGGTGAAATAGGTCTTCCTTCATTTTAGTTCATTACTTCATTGCATCTTGATTACCTTTTCAAACCGACTGAATAACCGATACTGATTGGCTTTTGAGATGATTGTTGCGGAAGTGTAATTTGCAAAAAGACCAATTAGAAAAGAAACTAGTTGATTCGATCGATTAAACTGGACAAACCAGTTCGACCTCGAACGCTCGTTTTTCCCCTTTGGGTCACTAATCGTTTCAGCTTGTTGCGAGACTAATGACTGATTAAAAACACGCTTTTCCAGCGTGCAAAAATTGAAGCGTGTATTTTCACTAAAACTTTAATCGGCTTAAAACTTGTAACATTGCATAACTTTTTTAAAATTGAAATTTATTTACCTATACGCGATCGTATATACGTTTATACGTATCACACAGGAGTAATGCCAGCACTGCACCGGTAGAACACATACTTTGAGGAGCCAGCGATTGCTGGCACTCAATGTGTATGATTAGTTGTCAAGGAGATATCCCGAGGCCACCGCCGGTTGAGACGACGTGGAGGTTGTCAGGATGGGAATGAGTGGAGAGCGCTCGAGCAGTATGGCTAGGATGGTTCGAAAGGTTGGTGTGGAAGGTTCGGAATCAGGGCCGGATCAGTTCGTTGACAAAAGGAATGTTCAGGTCTTTGTGGATAGTGAGGTTAGAGACATAATTAGGTGCTTTGGCAATCTGTTTAAGGATTTCGTTGGAAGGACTGGATGCGCTGGATATTGGATGACTTGGCAGTACTCCCTAGTTCCTATTGGGCTTAGTAAAGTCTTGTAAGTGCTTTGTCTTAGTTATCAAACTCGAATTCAGTCATGGAAATCTTCGTAGTAGTGCAAGTCTTGTGTTAATTTTTTTTAAGTGTTATGTGGGTATTTCACGTCAGCCTATAGTCCGAGGTATATGACTTGGGTGGAAACTGGTATTTCTTTGTTGTTGATGTACGGGGTTTCATAACTTAAATTCATTAACTCGTCTAAGCTAACTAAGCTAAAATTTAAACACCTTCTTATAAATTACAAGTCAAAAAAGTGCGAAACCTTAATCGCCGAGACCCGTGGCATGAGAGAGATTTTCCACTAAACAACTAAATGAATATTCGGAATATCATACATGAAGTCGGTCTTAAGGAAAGAGATGTAAAGCAAAAATGGTATGTTAAACCGTTCAAGTGAGCTTTTGTCAACTTTTGCCTACATTAGTTAAAAAAGTTAATCATCGCAAAACTCCAGGAGGATAGTAGATCTTCCGCCGAGCAGTGAGCGATTCCGAGTGAATCAAGTCTGATCATTAAAAGAAAAATTCACAACCTTTCCGAGCTGCCAAAAGTGTAGTATTTCCCGATTACCGCATTGAAAAATAATTCGTTTATTGTAAAAAAAGTACAGACAACTGTGAATCTGTACCAGATATCCAACTAATCCCTGGTCTATTTTTGTGCACTGCATTTCATTTTATTTTACTCCAGAGTAAAGCGGCTATCAAACGGCAAACGTTCAGTTCTTGTCGTTTATAAAACTTTCTAACAGGGAAAACTAGCCTAATTGATGGAAAAAAATAAACTAGGCGAAAAACTTGAAATATGGCATAACAGGTTTTTCTGATTTCCTCTTGGGGTCTGGAGGGTAATGAACTTAGTCATTAACTATACTGGTTGTTTTTTTTTTGGTCTGCCAATGGTTCATCACTACGCAGACCTCAAGAGGAAGAGTCAAACCACTGAATACGGCGAGAAGTAAGTATAAGCGCGGTTAAGCAAACTAAAGTTTAGTCAAATCATTCTTTTAAATTGTATTCAGGCAAACTGGTAGCAATTAAATATAGAAATAGGGCACTCTCAACACGGCACGCAAGGATGGCACAATTACACAGAAGACAAACACTTTGAGCCCTGAAGATGATCTCAATAAAAGATCGAAACGTTGGCACGATAAAGAAAATGTTTTTCTGAAACCTACATCACACCCGACCGCATCTCACGATATCTGAATAACTATCGATTAACGGTCACTAATCTCTACACATAGAAAACAACATTGAATTTCATTTATAATTAAAGAATCATCATTTCTTTCGTTTTGAGTTCATTCATTGGCAAATACTTATTTTTAAACCATTTTGTCATGCTTTTTAAGCACGCTGTTTACCCAACCAAGATTATCAATGTAATCTGCAGTTATCACCACAGGTGAATCGTCTGCGATCTGATAGAGAGTGACATTATTTTCTATTACAATTAATTAAGGTTTTGAGTTGAGATATAATTGGTCAAGCGGACCACGAAATCAGTGAATTTAATTATTTTCTATATTAGGAGAAATGCATTTCTTTAGATCATTTAGGTATATTATAAATAGGAGCGGGCCTAATTGTGAGCCTTGAGGCATAGAATGCTTTCTACTTATAGTTCTAGTCATATTAGATTTTCCCATTTAACACACTGGTATCTATTCGATATGAAATTTTTACCTAAGTCAAGGGCTAACCCCTTACTCTATAAGCCAGTAAAATACTGGTTGGTCATAATTTGTACTTGTTGATTTTTTCCAAATTTATACATTTTATAAGGTTGGCCAGCATATCTACAGTACCTATGCCATTTCGGAAACCAAATTCCTCCCTCGAGCCCGATTTGAGATAAAAAATGTAGTCATGATACTAACTAGAAAAATCATATTAATAGACTGTACTAGTGATGGTAGATATCGTGGTCCCTCAATTTGTAGGAATAAATGATTGAAGTCCGTTCTTGGGGAGAAATTGTCGTAACGTCTTTCTCCATTTGAACTCAAAATGATTTTTAAGGGATTCTGTTTCTATTCATCTTTTGTTGGCTTTTTATTATTACCGTTCATATTTTTCTTCCAAGATAATTCCTCGATGATGGCCAGGAAGGCTCAAACTGGCCGGAGCAGAACAGTAAACAAAGAAATGCATCTCCCATGTATCCGGGGACATATGGCCTCTACATACCTCATCCACTTCTTCGTTTATACATATTAGTTTACAAGTGAATAGCAAAGATTAAATCCATCGTACGATATACTACAAATCATATGTAAAAGTGTACATGTCTCAGGCCTAAAAGTAATATACAATATTTAATGTGACATGAAAAATGGTTGTTAGGCTTTTATAGCCACCACCATTGCTGTAAAGTGAATCTGATGACATCTCTGTGGTGATAAAAATAGGAAAATCGTGCCATATCGTAACCAAAAGGAGTGTTTAAACAAATATTAAAAAAAGCTCATGTTCCTGTAAGATAAAGAATAATAACGGTTTTTGTTTTTATCGACACGTGCTAGGTTCCCGTTAACACTCCCCCGTTTGAAAACGAACGTGTGTATCTAGTAAGGTGTCCGAACTGAATTTCCAATGGATTCTCCTTTTCTAAAAGAGAAACTCGAATGTACGATTGTACTGTACAATCGGTGAGGGAACCAGGCCAACTGAGTCATTTATAGCTTCCGCTGATCAAACTTACAGCGATTTTTGGTCACGAACGTTCTCGTTTCGTATGATAAATTGGCAAAATGTCGCCCATTTTTTTTTCTTTTGTCTTACACTTTAGATAAAGAAAATTATATTTTTTGTTGTAAACAGCTTTCTAGGATTGTCAGTTTTAGATTTCACAACGTATTTCTTTGAAAATTATTTTGTTTTCCTCCTTTATCTTAACTGATTAAAGTTTGGTATGTATCATTATGATCTGTAAAACGTTCTAATAGGACTCCCACAGGGACAAAAAAAACGAAAATAGGAGAGACATTTTGCCAATTTATCATACTTGGTGTCTTCATAGAAACATGAACAGTCATGTTTCTATGAAGACACCAAGTATGATAAATTGGCAAAATGTCTCTCCTTTTTTTGTTCTTTTGTCTTGTTTTTTCTTCCTTTTATCCTGATATTCTAAATAATTAAGTTTTCGTTCATATCTCTTTAGTATCATTATGATCTGTAAAACGTTCTTATAGGACTACGCTGTTCATGTTTCTACGATCACACCAAGTATGATAAATTGGCAAAATGTCTCTCCACAGTTTGTTCTTTTGACTTGTACATTTTAGATAAAGAAAACTGTATTTTTTTGTTGTAAACAGCTTTCTAGAATTGTCAGTTTTAGATTTCACAAATGTTCTTTGAAAATGATTTTTTTCCTCCTTTATTCTAAATAATTAAGTTTTTGTACATATCTCTTTAGTATTATTATGATCTGTAAAACGTTCCAATAGGACTCCCCTGTTCAGTTTTCTACGATCACACCAAGTATGATAAATTGGCAAAATGTCGCTTTTTTTTGTTCTTTGGTCTTATACATTTTAGATAAAGAAAACTGTATTTTTTTGTTGTAAACAGCATTCTAAGATAGTCAGTTTAGATTTCACAAATGTACTTTGAAAATGATTTGGTTTTTCTTCCTTTATCCTAACTAATTAAAGTTTCGTGATTCTCTATAGTATCATTATGATCGGCAAAACGTACTAATAGGACTCCCCTGTTCATGTTTCTAAGAACACACCAAGGTCTACCGGTTGGTCCTTGCGCCGGGAGAAAATTGGTTCTGATTAAAGTTCTTGACCCTAAACCTTCTCTCCTCGCGATGAGTTCCCTGCATTTCCTTTCATCCTTTTTTCCGTGTTAACTGATCCGAAATAAAATGTTAATTTTTTATGTTTCAGGAAGAGCTGTATTAACCGGGGAGGAGATAAGGAAAGGGATTTTTTTTTCTTCCAACCTACACTTTTAAAGGTAAGAACCGAATAATTGTGAACACCTTGCAGACAATTACTGGCTACGGTTCGTCTTTCATGAAAACAAAGTAAAATAAATCGGACGATTTCCTCCTAAAAGCCAAAATTAAATTCAAATCTGCTTACAAAATTAAATCACGCGATTAAATTTGAAAGGCTGTAAAAACGACAGAGTAATGGTACCGGGTTGTTTGCATGCCAAGGAACAAATTTGCAATGAAAACAATGATAATTTTTGGTCCAATTGTGCGTGTATGAATCTATCTTCTGACAATTGCCCCAATTATGATTCATTATGCAATAATTAATGGCCATGGCCCACACTCTTGTAGCCAAGACAAATAGACTTGAGGGGTGAGATCGAGTCACCTTGAAGGACCAACCTTGGCAACATTACCATCCTTTGTACATATCAGAAAGGTAACGAGCAACGGTACCCAGTATAAAATTATCACTTGGGGAATAGGATTTTTTTTATTGTTATTTGAGTTTTTTGGTTTATTTGTTGGCTAAACTCACCATATCTTTTTTCCAAGTAGTTAAAGAATTGGTCATTGGCTCCATTTGACAATAATCGATATTAAACGACGTTAATTAATCAAACAGACTTACTATCTATATTGATAAGAACTTGAAAAAATATATTTATCGTTCTTTATACTGGACAAGGCTTGTTGGTTGTACACCATGCTATTAGCTCGTGATCATTTCAATATCATTGTTCGTGTCTCGGCTCGCCTCCTCTTTGCCCTAGACCTAGAGCATTAACTACAGAACATTTCTTTGTGGAAAGTTTAAAAAAAGCTCAGTTCTCCCGGCCCTATTTGGCTTGACGTTTGTCAATGCTTGGGAGAAAAGTATCAAGAAAGTGGGTCGTTCACACAATTACGGCAACTGCAACGTACCGTAGCGAGACATGAAATAATGTTTTTTTTCTCTCATTTTAATACATTTATTACAAGACCTTTTCAAAAGCCAGAATCATAAGCAACAATGCTGATTATTTGTCGATTTTACTAATCAGAATCAATGCATTATTAATTTAACAGCAAGTTCTCTTGATATTACAGAAGTTTTACAATAAAAAAAAATATTAGTTACGAAAAAAGGAAATGAATAGAATTTTCCTTGCTATACTTTATTAGGTACCCAGGCAGTTTTAAATTTGTGATATCCACGATCGTGTACATCTTATAGCTAAAAAATAGTGAAATTTTCGTTCTCCACTTGTAAGATATACTAAAATTATATCTTAGTTAAATTCAATCATAACTTATTAGTATTTTTGTATGCTTAACCGAATCTTAAATTTTCTTATCCCCGATAAATTCGCAAGGGTTGAATTGTATTTATGTGTATGTTTACATTTCTATTTGAAAATGTTTTGTTTGTCTGCCTAAGCCAAAAATAATTTCTTTTACCCTACTGGGTTAATTTTTTAGAATTTTTCTCAATTTCCTGTTGACTTTATGGTTTGATAGCTTTGAAGTGATAAATATGATTTTCCCTCATCTACTTTATATGAAGTAATCAGTCACATACTAATATCTGCCTCGATTTATATTGCATTTTTCTTACGCTTGTTTATTAATTTTTCCAAAAATTTCCATTGAAGTACGAATGTTTTCTTTTAAATTTTTCCCGTATTTCCAGCTGGTTTTTAATCGGTAATTTATCTTGCTTTACAATTTTATCATAAATTTTTCATAATCTGCAGTTATTATCTGAATTACTTTAATCTTGGCGAATTTTCCAAAAGTGCTAGAATGAATTTATACCTAGTGGATTTCACTTACTTCGATTTTTTTACCCCGATTTACCTTACATTGAGATTCAAGTAATCATTAACGCATATTTCACTTCAGCTTAGATTTAATTATGAATTTTTCTTACCCTAGCGTAATTCTACAAAATATTTCACTTGATCTACTAATATATGTTTTTCTTTGCTTGTGTATTTCAGTTCTTTCCTATTTTACTTTTCCTATTTTCAAAATACTAGCATGAATTTATCTAAGCCAGCTCATTTCTTTTTCTCCTATCGTTTTATTTACTATGGAATTTTCCTTACATTGTACAAACTAAAGTAATCATTAAGTCATATGTATTATGTCACTCTATTATAGATTTTATTTTTAAATCCTCTTACCCTACCACCTTAGTTTTACCAAAAAGTTCTATTGCTTTACGGATATATTTTTTAAAAATTGTTTCCCTTTGTTTTTTAATTTTTCCCCTTGGTTTTTATATCTTTATATTATATTTACAAGGATTTCCCAAAAGTACTAAAATTAATCATTAAGGCCTATTTCACTCAGCCTCGATTTAATTTTGAATTTATTTTACCCTATAATCTTGGTTTTTCCACGAATTTCCCTTATTATACTAATATTTTTATTTTATTCTTTAATTTTTTTTTAAATAGGGAATTTCTCTTGCTTTTCTATTTGGTGTAATGATTTCCCCATAACTAGTCCAAACGAATTACTTTAATATTGACACGAATTTCTGTTGCATTTTATAGATTGAAGTGGTCATTAAAGCCTATTTCACTTTTGCCTAGATTTAATTTTGAATTTATTTTACCCTATAATCGTGACTTTTTCCAAGAATTTCCTTTGATTTACGAATATTTTTACTTCATTCTTTAATTTTTTTTTATTATTGAATTTTTCTTAGTTCTATTTGATATCAAGATTTTCCCATAACTAGTTATTAAACGAATTATTTTAATATTGACACGAATTTCTGTGCATTTTATAGATTGAAGTGGTAATTAAGGCTTACTTCACTTTTACTTCGCATATTTATCCCATTTATTCGCATTTCTATTATCTTAGTTTAAATACTATTAATTTATCTTGTATACCATGAATTATTTTAAATTGATTTTTATCATGTACAACGCTTTTGCTTCGGTTTTACTTTTAATATTTACACGAATTAAATTTATTCTGTGTGAATTAAAAGATACCTTTCTACTCTTTTGAATTAAATCCCATCTCACTTTTAAATTAGGAATTTCTCATACCGTGTTTTCTACTGTGTTAATTAAACGATTTACTTACTTATTTATGTTTTCATCTAAAAGATCTGGTTGTAGGGTTTTTTTAAAGTTAAATATGTAGAATAAGCCATATCGAGTGTACAACCTTTTGATATACGCACGTATTGCACATTGTACAATGTTTTTCAGTGGAACTGTTAACAGATGGTGCTCTTCGATTTTTGGCCTTTCAAAAGTAAAATCATCTCAACATTTTTACGAGTCACCGTTTATTATGTGTCATTACAAATTATACATGGGCGAATCCTTCAATCCTATTGTCGTTTCCACTTGCCTATTTACATACATTAATGCACCCCCACTCTTCCTCTACTATAAACATAAGATGACATACTTCCATAAGAGCCGTCGACATACTGGTACGTGAAATTCCACGATATGAAATTCAATTTCATCATCAATTTTATGCTAAAAACTTCGTTTGCTATTCCATGGTATTGCAATGTTGCATGATTGCTTTATTTATGTATTTAAATAGGCAATATGCGCTCCATAGTCATTTTCGACGAGAGTTGCATTTGTTAAAATGGAATCAGGTGGATATTTTAATTTATTCGTTGCGCAAGTTTAATTTCTCAATACAGTCATCAACGATTATTTCCCCATCCTCTTCCAGATCAATCGATAAGACGTGTTTATAGAAGATTTTCGCGTGAAATTCTTTCACGCCTCTTTTAAAAATGTCAAATATCGCTTTACGCCATTGCGATATCACTGTTTTGCGCGAAAATTGAGAATAACCGGGTAAAAGATCTCTTTATTCCTATGCATTTCCGTATCGTTCAATCCCATCTGTAAACATTGTAAATTAAGTTGGGAATTTTTTTTGTGTGGGTCTTTCTGCCGAGTGGTTCAATTTTGTAAAAAAAAAGAAGTAATTATCAGAAAGCCGAAAACGATGAAAATTAATTTTACGCATTATCCGCATGTTTACAAAAGGAAACGTTTCTTCGTCACGTTTTGTTAAGAGGCTTGTTTGTTTTCGCATGACATTAAAAATTTATCGGCTCCTAATAATAATAAAAAAAATCCTACGTGTTATTTACCACGTTGTTGCCTTGTTGTGATTTTCCTTTATTGTCCAATGTCAAAACAAAAAGATTTTTGGGAATTGAAAAGAACTAGATTGAACTAATACTACTAAAGCTAATTTTTTTTTCCAAAAATATATTGAAAATAGCAGATTACGAACTTTAGTATGACACACCCAGGCTATAAACTTGCACGATTCCTACCCACTGGGGGACCCTTGATGGCCGCTACGGTTTTGGCATTGACACGGCGTTCATCACTGTGAGTTAAAGGTCCCGGGTTCGAATCCAGAGGCCCTGAACTGAAACCCGACATACAAATAGGCTTTTTTTTCAAAAACACCGGCACCACAAGGGTTAATTCTACTCTAACTGAACGCTGTTTCGGAGTCGATTCAGATATTATACAAGGGGTCCCACAAGGGAACATTTTTGGCCCCATATTATTTATAATGCTGACTCCTGTATCCCAATAACATCATTGCTCTTGCGAATCCTATTCAAGCACCCTCCAACATGCTTCAGATTATAAAAGACGTGCAAAAAGTGACAAGACAGAGTGAGGGAAACGTGTACAGGGTAAATTTACATTAAAAAGGAGTCTTACCTTCCTTTAAATCAACAAGTAAATAAACGACTTCCCTTCTGATTCAGAACTTAGCAGTCAAAAGTTCTCGGACAAATTGTCAAAGGTCCTTACTACATTACTAACCTCACTATCCACAACTACCTCAACTTTCCTAAGTGATCCGATCTCGCTTCTAAAAGTTCCACACCAATCTCTCCATCCTAAGCCTACTGCCCAAGCATTAATTATCCTATCCCTACAATATTGCCTTAAACGACTCGATTCCAACTCACCCTTAATTTGGAAATGTTGTGTGCCACGTAGTCTGATTT